CGTTTCTCTGGAATCCTGTACATGTTCCTAGAACAGAGCTCTGTGGAAAGAGACTCATGAGCATAGAGAAACCTATTTTGATATCCTTAGAAGGCAGGAGATTTTTATAATCTCATTCAGGACTTAAAAGAAGTCTAGAGTAAGATTTTTAACCTGCCACCCTCCTCTTAAACACATGTACTACTGTCTTCCTGTTAGTATCTTGTCCTACTCCAATGAAATTACTTAAGAAACTATACTCTTATAGATCTTAAGTTCAGATTTCCTGTAGGTAGATAGCTGATATGTAGGCTGAGTCGGAATGGTAAAATTACATTCGGTTCATCGAGTTCACACCTTCCTGACAGATTTTTTTTTCTTAGTTTTTCAGGAAAATTATCAATGACATCAGTTATTAACCAGTGCAACATTTTTTCCTTAAGTATGGTACATATACTCTCCTAGGTTTTGTATGAAACTGTTCAAATAGAAAGTTATTCTAGATGAATATGCTTTTGTTTCCTGCTCCACAAAAGGGAGAGAGATCCAGAGTTCTCCCCAGTCCAGCCGAGATACTTCCTTATGGTGCTTCAGAGCTTCCTAGGCTCAGACTCCTCAACATTTAGAAAAACTGACCCTCTGAAGTTAAGATTATGTGTTTTAGAGCTGCAGATAGAGCACGTGTATTTATTTCTTTGAAGCATGTGCTCCTTTTGGAATGGTTTCTTGTTTTGCTCAGCCTTGAGGACTGAGTGTAGAGGCTGTACTCCACTGATCTGGTAAGAGCAAAGGGGCCATGGGCACAGCGTTCTCTTATTCTCCCACAGTCGCCTGTTTTTTCAACCTATAATTGCACCCAGAGGATCTGAGGAAGTAGACTTATCAGCTAATTATATGAAATAAAATTAATTTTAGCTTCCTTAACACAAGCAGAATCTTAATTAGGTACATATCAAAATTGTTTCTGTATGTTCCAGGCTGATTTCTGTGACTTTCAGTTTGGTTTGCGGGCCCATCTTAATCCAAGAGATGGAGTCCCTTGATCTTAAAGTCCAGTTCTGCTATTAGAGAAATCTAGTAAGGTCCTGCACTTGCAGTGCCAGATGGCCTGATTAAACACCAATAAATGTTTCTTCCAAAATACAATAAGCACAAATAGTTAAGTGCACAGCCTGTGGGGAATTCTACTGTTTGAAAACTTCTGTGCAGCACTTTGCAAGGCTGTCGAGCCTGAGGAAGCTCTGTCTGTGCATTGCCAAGGCAATGCCTGGTTCTCTGGGCTACGTCGTTTTCATTTAATTTTTTTTTTTACTTTCCTGGTAGAAAGGAGAGGCAGCTCCCTCTAAATATTGGTATTTCACAGCAAACCTTAAATCCTTATTGCCTTACTCGTGTGGAAAGGTTGATTGTAGCTGCTATCTTGCTCTTCCTAAGAGACCCGTTGGGTGGTAAAGATCTCAGGGAATGAAACATTAAAAATGAATGAGGGGACTGGAGTAGTTTGTCTGAGGTGAGGGTTGGGAGGGGCTGGGCGGGGGAGGTTTAACAAAAGGCACTGGTGTTTTAAATGCACAGAAATGCCATCCATCAATAATAAATGGTGTGGCATAGAACAGATGTGCCCAATTGAGTTATTACAGCATATGGATCAGTTCATAGGGGAGAAAGTAAGCAGCATAGCTGGTGTTTTTAAATTATCTGTTTGAGAGCTTTAGAATACATTTTTGAATGTCCTGTTTTTACCCTCTGACAGCTGCTAGTTGGAAATATAAAACGTGTGGAATTACCAAACATTCCAATTAAATTTTGAGTGTTTTTAAAGTAAGAATTATTGAGAGTGAATAATTTTTTTTTTTTTTTTTTTTTTCCTGAAGAGGGAGACAGAATCTGGAAATGAATTTCTGGCCCTTCATGGCTGAGTGCCTGCTTTTTAAGACCTCGAGTTGTAATTAATTGTATGAGGAATGAAATTACATTACAAAACTTAAGTCATGTGAAACTGTTACCTAGTGTTTTCTACTACATTGATTATATCTCTAGGTATCTCTTCAGTACCTACTTAAACTACAGAGGACCACTCAGGAAACCTCTCTCAGGCTTTGAGGTTGCTTCATTACCCTCAGCATCTTGATTCAAGGGCTAATTCTATACATATGCTCCGAGCGAATTATTTCACCTAAAGGAGGAACAAGAGAAATACCAGCTTTGTTGTCTCATAGAGAAAATCACTCCTAGGAAATTGGACAGACAGAAATCCATTAGGTAAACTGGAATATTTTGTAAGTGTAGATAGTATGCAGCGGTCAAGCTTTAAGTTTTACTTGATCTTCTAGAAGTAATGGGAGTTGCTGTCAGTGTCACAGGCATAGCAGAGGAGAATAACGTGAGAGTGTTTGAAATGACTCCTGAGTTGGAATTGGTGGGCTTGGTGAGAGCTGGAACTATTCCACTCATCTTAATATTGACCCTTGCTTGCCTTTTTAGAAACTTGTTTGGAATTGGATCTCTCTGGTGTGTTGTCCCAACAAAACTAATTCCTCTGTGTTTTTCAACTAAGGTGAACTAAAAAGTACTTAATTCTTGCAGATAACGCCAAGTTGGTTTAAATTTGAGCTTTGTTAGACTGGAAGGACAAATGGCCTAGCTGTTGTAGAAGAGTTCATTTACTCTTTGCGTGTGGATGTTCTAGTTGAAAATGAGGAGAGTGGCTGTATGAAAAGTCTATTACTCTTATTGTAGCCGTCTGTATTAACTTTCAACTCTTCAGGTGCAGAATTTACTTGAATAAATCTTTTTCACCTCCAAGGGATCCCAGCTTACCTTAAAAAAGCACTTGTCAGACTGTCTTTAGAGCCACCAAATAAATCTATTTTATAGTCCCATTAGATATCTAGCTCAAAATCCCACTCTCTGGAAGGCCGTATGGTTGGATGCACAACAAATTTCCTGAAATCATCTCTGGTACACCTCCTTGAGGTTGTTAGGAAGGTGTTGAAATGTGAGAAGGCTGGTCATGAAATTAAATTGTGGCTCAGGGTAATGAGGAAGGGAGAAAACCAAGCATTTTCTTAGTGCATTGTCTGGCTTTTAGTTGCAGCTGCAAACAACGGATATGAATTTAACCAGTTGCTACAGTGCAGCTGGTTCAGATGTGGCTTTATAACTGGCTGAAGTGAAATGAAAAGGCTGGAAAATTCCAGTCAGGTAACACTGGTGGTAACATGTGGAATTAAATAGTGTGAGCAAATGCTGGCCGAGCTGGGGAAAAAGCCCTTCGGACATAAACTTGAGGGTGGTGGTGAGGACTTGTAGAGAGCGGGGTGGGGAGGGGCCGGCATGGCCTTTTAAACAAGGGTCTATTGTTTTGATTAGCCCCCTTGCAGGAGGTGGAAGGTTCCCTCCATCCAGAGTAATCTGTAGAGTGTTTGGCTTGTCTACCTCCCTCCTTGACTGAAGTCACCTGATACTTTTTTTTTTCTTCAAGAAGAAAGAATAATTGGGATTGACACATACACTCTATTGATGCTATGTATAAAATAGAAAACTGATGGGAACATACTGTACAGCACAGGGAACTCTACTTAATGCACTGTGGTGACCTAAATGGGAGGGAAGTCCAAAAGGAGAGGGATAGGCTGTATGGCTGATTCGTTTTGCTGTGCAGTAGAAGCTAACACAACATTGTAAAATAACTATACTCCAGTAAAAATTAATTTAAAATAAAATAGTTCTCTGAAAAAAAAAAAGAAGAATAAGCTGTTGCCTCAGTTATTGACAGTAACTCAGATCTCAAAGCATAGTCTTTTTTCCCCCTTGGGGACCGTTTTCCCACATGTGTGACCCAGAAAGCCCTGTGTCTTCCTCGTCATCTTCCTTCCATCCCCTGCGGCAGAGATGTTGAGGATGTTGGAGACAAAGGTGCTCAACGTTCATTTTTTTAAATAATTGTTCTAATTAAGGAAATAAAATCGGTTCACTCAAGGGAAGCTTTTGTATTATCAGTAGTTTTTTCTCCATGAATTGTCTGCTTAACTTGGCGGGTTGAGAGTTGACTGGGGAACAGATTTCTGAGAAGTCGAAGGGCCATCGTGCTGTTTGGGGAAAACATTTGCTGTAACTAGGTTTAGGGTATTTAGTCTGCCAGTGCTTGGGAGCTGCATTTGCTAAGTGAGTTTGCTGTCACAGCGATTAGTCAGTCATGTGAAACATTTGATTAAAGGACTTAAGAGAAATCTTTTCCTGAGGCACATGATTGGTAGCTGTTGCTGGGATGGCCCCCTCCTCAGCTTTCCATTTCCTCCCTCAGTGTTTATAAGTAAGTTTGTAGTGATGAGTCATGGGATATGGTTTTAGCGTCCAAGGGAGAAACCTTTTAGAAACTGAAGTTCTGGTAGGGGGCTTCCCTGGTGGCGCAGGGGTTGAGAGTCTGCCTGCCGATGCAGTGGACACGGGTTCGTGCCCCTGTCTGGGAAGATCCCACATGCCGCGGAGCGGCTGGGCCCATGAGCCATGGCCACTGAGCCTGTGCATCTGGAGCCTGTGCTCCGCAACGGGAGAGGCCACAACAGTGAGAGGCCCGTGTACCTCAAAAAAAAAAATTTCTGGTAGGTTTATTGTTAATTAAGCCACTTAGAGCTTCTGCATAACTGAGAACGGAATCTTTTTTTTCTCAGAGCTCTACCACAGCTCATCTGTTTTTGGAAGGAGACAAGATATAAATTACCAATAAAAATTGCCTGTATCCCAACAACAGCATTGTTCTGTCTTAGGAAAATGAACATTTTTTCCTGAGGCACATTCCCCGGATCTGTGTTAAATTATCATTCCAAATACATAGGACTTTTAAAAGTTTCCCTAACAGTGACACCATTCACTTGCAAGGCAGAAGCAAAGAGGCCTAGTCTGGAGATTCTGCCTCTAGCCATTCAACTCCAGAATGGAGAGCAGCTCTTGCCACACAAGGATGCACCGTCCTGTATCCCTCCCATCGTGTTAAACTTTGTACGCGTTCCTTCCCACAGATCACCATCATCTTCAAAGCCCACCGCGAGTGTACAGACCAGAAAGTATACCAAGCTGTGACAGATGACCTGCCAGCTGCCTTTGTGGATGGCAGCACCAGTGGAGGGGACGGCGACATCAAGAGCCTGCGTATCGTGGAGAGGGAGAGCGGCCGCTACGTGGAGATGCACGCTCGCTACATAGGGACCACGGTGTTCGTGCGGCAGCTGGGTCGCTACCTGACCCTCGCCGTCCGCATGCCTGAAGACCTGGCCATGTCCTACGAGGAGAGCCAGGACCTGCAGCTGTGTGTGAACGGCTGCCCCCTGAGCGAGCGCATCGATGACGGGCAGGGCCAGGTGTCTGCCATCCTAGGACACAGCCTGCCTCACACGTCCTCGGCCCAGGCCTGGCCTGGCTACACACTGGAGACTGCCAACGCTCAATGCCACGAGAAGATGCCGGTGAAGGACATCTATTTCCAGTCCTGTGTCTTTGACCTGCTCACCACGGGGGATGCCAACTTCACCGCCGCAGCCCACAGTGCCTTGGAAGACGTGGCGGCACTGCACCCCAGGAAAGAACGCTGGCACATTTTCCCAAGCAGTGGCCTCGGGACTCCCCGTGGAGACAGCCATTTGTCTGTCAGTCTAGGCCTCGCGTGCTCCATCCTTATCGTGTTTTTGTAGGGGTTGTCTTTTGTTTTGTTTCTGTTTTTGTCTACAACAAAATTTTAAAATATATATTGTCATAATATATTGAGTAAAAGAGTATATATGTATATACCATGTATATGACAGGATGTTTGTCCTGGGACACCCACCTGATTGTACATATTGTGTTTGACTGTTTTCACGTCTGTTGGATGTAGTGTTCTTTGATTGTATCGATTTTGTTTTGCAGTTTTGTGAAATGTTTTATAATGTCCCTGCCTGGGGACCTGTTAGAAAGCACTTTATTTTTTATATATTAAATATTTATGTGTGTACCTGGTTAGTATGTATATAGTACACGTGCACAGACACCGTACGCAGCGTTCCCTTTGAAGATGACCGGCGACGTTGTTTGTAGCTCTTCCTGGCTGCGCCCTCCTGTCCTTTCCCACTGCTGCTCATCCCATGCACGCAGCTTTCACCTGCCGCCTCCTGGTGCAGCTGCCTCGTTCCTTTGAACTAGGTCCTTACCCTCTTCTTCTGCCCTCGCTCGATGTGGAAGGACAGTTAACCCCCCTCCAGGTGCTTTTGGCTGTTTAAACACTGATTCTAGGCCCTCTCCCTCTTTTACAGCTGTCACTTTTTCGGAGGGTGGGGAGAATGTTAGTACCGTTCTTATTAACTAGGATTGTTATATCTGAGCACTTATAGTATGGTAGGTTGAATGAAAACTGCTGTTTTTATAGGTCAGAAGGGGCTAGTGATGACAGTTTCATAGATAAATACCAGGCATCTTGCTAGACCCCGGCAGCTCTCAGAATTTTGTCATCCTGTGTCCCTGTGTAAACTGTAGCTTTTCCCTCTTTTAACTCTATTCTACATTGAACGAACAAAACGCAAAAACATAAATTGAGTGATCATGCCTCTTGCTCTTATCTCTGTAATTTGTACAAGCCCACATTCTTAGCCTTCTCTTCCTTGGCTGTTTGGGCTCAGAAACGCACTGCTGCCTGTGTTCACGCCCAGTAAGCCCTCCTCAGTTTCACTTTAGGACCCCAGGGAATGGGGTTTGTTAGATTCTTGCTTTAACATCAAGGCCCAGATCCCATCACAAAGTTTTCCTCTTCCTTGCCCTCCACACTGAGGCCTTCCTCACAGCCTTTGACACATCTGTGTGCATAATGGAGTGGACTGGGGCACTCATGACAGAAGCGCTTCCTTGGCCTGACTCTGTATGTAGCTAACTCTGGGTGCTGGTTAGTCCAGACATTCGCACTGGGCAGTATTGCACCCCAGGTGGCCTCTCGATTTAATCAGATACTCTCCCTCTTAACATCTGTAGGTGACTATTATTTAGTCATCTTACTTTAAAGTAATTTCACCAAGCTACATGAGAAACTCCTTGCCTCTTCAATTCCATTGTTGGCACCTCTTGCAAAAGGAAAACACCACCAACAAAAGGCAAGAACAGTAACTGAGAACATGAACTCCAGGATAGGTAGGTTTATGTTGTTACCTCTAAAATGTAAATGTATGGTTCCAAGAATTAGTGGTAATATTTATACTTTACCCTAATCATTTACATAAATGCAAACAAAAGTTAGTGAACTTTAAATTTCACAGCAATTTGGGTCAAGATTCTGCTTAGTTTTAGTTGGCCAGGTAATTTCTTCCTTTTGCCATGTCCTGTTGATGAGTGGCACTGCTAGAGGCCCAGACTGGCAGGAAAGAGGATGTCATTTTGTGAAGTTCTATTTCTTCGTGAACTGATATATCAGTCATAGGATGGAGATGTGGGTTCATCCAGAGGTGGCAAACCTCCTCTCGACCATCTTCTGGTATATGAGAGAATTATCTTGGCCAGTCTGGGAAAATCATGAAGGCATCCTGCTTTCAGAGGGTTGAAACCCAAACCTGTTATCCTTGTATAAGAGCTGGACCGGGAGCCTACCTACCATCAGCTCTGAGCCGTGACTTCTTTAGTTCACTTACAGAATCCTGTGCCAGGTTAGAAGCTATAGTTAGCTAGTAATTTTGACGTAATTTGAGTAGAATGAAGGAAAAATATTTAGGGTACTTCTAACCACTATTTTTGTGCAAATAGTCTAAAAGTGAAGTAAAAACAGTAGAAGTTTTCTACAGTATCTGGGTTTAGAGTGTATATGATTAACATACCTTTGTCCTTTTCAGGGAAAGCAAAACAACCACCTCTGCTAATAGTTGGGAAAAGAAAATTGGGTTGTTTTGCCATATCATTTACCTGGAAAGGGTGCTTAAAAGCATCCTACATCACTATTAGTACCAGTGTATTTAGCTGTTCTCCCTTTATAGTCAGTATCTCTGTATGACACTGAGGCCCTCCCCACAGATAACTTTTCAGAAATACAGGTATTTCTCTAGAGAAGGGCCTGGTTTATCTTCTCCAGTTTCTTTCGTAGAATGTCTAAAGAAAATGCTACTTGCACATGTTGGTTTTTGAAATCCTCCTTAACCAGAAGAGTGTCGGGTCATACTAACACATAGGTAGGATGTAGCTGTTCAAACGTCTTCTGGGGGAGCTTAAACTTGTGGGAAAACACTGGTTTTCACAGATGCTCCACGTGGCTGTCTTTAAAAGACTCGAAACATTTTTTTGTCCTTCTCTTTGTTATGCTTGGAAACTCCCATAGTGTGTAGAGTCTTTGCAAAGAAACCTTTAGATGTGGTTCATAGGTATATGAATAAGTATCTGTGTAAAACAGTGAGTGTGCAGTGTGTAAATACTTTAAATTATTATGGTAGAAAAATAAAGTTACATACCATCCTGTGGAATGTTTGTTCTGTGATTATAGTGACACCTGCTGGAAGAGCCGAGAAATAGCAGAAGAAAGGGAGTGAGGGTGTGTTTGTGCAAAATCCTTTATGGTTACTGACAGTAAGTCGTACAACTTGTCCACAGACTCATTTTCTAAACTATATCACTACTGTGGTTTTTCCTTTTTAAATTTTAAGCAGTTGCAGATAAGTCAGTATTATCCCAAAGGTCTGTCTTTAGTATTAGTTTTGGGCCCCTGCAGACATGGGACCTGCATTTGGTTCTTTGAAGGCAGCCTGGATGGCAACAACTGGTGGGGAGGATCTTGAGGGGCAGGATTTTCTGGCTTTGGAAACTTCTGTAAATCCCCACTTCTTGGGTGTTCCAGAAAGAGACATCACAAGACTGTAAGTTAGTCTTTGTTCACGAAACATGCCGAAGGGTAGAAAAGCTTGAAAAAGAATTAAACCCAAACTGAAGGCACAGCAAAGCACTGTTAGTGCTACTAGGTAGAATATTAAATGGAGCGAATTCTGATTGGGGAAAACATATATAATCATTTCTTAAAGAGAAAGTTAATCCTTATACTTAGTGTTTATGTGTGGCAGTTCAGAACAAATAGAAAAGGAAAATTATGTCAACTGAACACACATGAAGTAGGATGACAATGGTAACAGCCACTGAGTACATAGTGCTTATGTCTGTACTGAATGAACACTACGAAATAATCTGTCACAATGAGGTCTATGCTTAAAAATAAAAAATTCTTCACTGTATTCATGTCCAGACCTCCAGCTTTTCAGGGATTGAAACTTGAGCAGCTGTCCAAAAATCTTAAAAAGAGGTCGTTATTGTCTTGAACTGCAGATGGTGACTAACAAATATTAAGAATCCTGTTAGTTATCTCAGTTTTCTCTTTTGTTTATTTTTTATTAAAAACATTTTTTTTTTGGTACCCAAAGCAGTTAGCAGCATCCTGTTGCCTGGAATCACCTGGAATAACACAGTCTTGGATTGCTGCCGCCCTTTCTGGGCAAAGATACTTTGCCACAGTTTTTCCCCTATTCCCATAAACAGTTATCTATTTGTATGTGAACCAAGGAGCATCTCCCTCTCTCGTAGAGAATGTAATCAAGACATTCAAGAAACAGGGCTTCCCTGGTGGCACAGTGGTTGAGAGTCCGCCTGCCGATGCAGGGGACGCGGGTTCGTGCCCTGGTCCGGGAAGATCCCGCATGCCGCGGAGCGGCTGGGCCCGTGAGCCATGGCCCCTGAGCCTGCGCGTCCGGAGCCTGTGCTCCGCAACGGGAGAGGCCACAACAGTGAGAGGCCCGCGTAACGCAAAAAAAAGACATTCAAGAAACAGCAAGCAGTTCCCAGTTCTTTGTTATTTCACTACCTAGCTCACCATATTGTTTCTGCTTCCATCTATTTTCTGTGTGTCTTTTAAATGGACAAGTCATATTCACATTATTATTTAGATGGTATTTTCCTTTGAATTTACTTCTCTTCTTTCCCCAAGTATCTCTCGTAGGCACGATGCTTAACGCAGTCCTTTGTGCCCTAAACGTGATGTCTGTGAGGTATGTGCTTGGAGTGGGGATGTCTGTGTGCGTCCTCTCCCTTGTGAGCAGTGTGTGGATTTACAAAGAGACTGGACATCCAAGCCCCAGGAGAATATACTAACAGATCCTACAGAGGTAGAATGTATGCCATTGGCCTCGTTAAAATGATGTTCAAACCACTTGAACAAACCAGTCCTGTCAACTAAAATGTATTAAAGTAGGTCCGTCAAACTCTAGCCAGAAGAAAGTAACCAGGCAATGTTTTCTAACTGAGAGTTCTTCATGGGTGACAGTTCTAGGACCCATTTTTTATTTTAATAATGAAAACTCCAACTCCAGAAGAAGGAAAAAAAGTAAACATTCTGCTATCAGATTGGATATAGATCAAACCACACACAAATTAACCAAGTATGAATTGTACCTACCTTAAATGACGTTTTAAAAACCAGGATTATCTCAATCAATAATGTAGCACTACCAAGGGAAATGATGCTATTTGATGGCATAAAGGACTTGCTTCCAGGGGCTTCTAACAAGAAGCAGTAAGGTAGGAGTCATTGAAGGGGAGGATGAAGGGGACGATAAATTCATTTTCTTCCAAGACCACTTTTGGATCTGCCAAATAACAATGTCGTTTATGCGTTGCTGGCCATGGCTGCAGTGAAGTCTGTGGGGAGCTATCGATTGGCTCACTCTAAGTATACGGGAAAGATTCTGTGCCAGAGTCACCGCATGGATGTTCATCTTCCTTCTTGGGAAGGAAAAGGAAAGAGCGATGAAATAACTTGGGATAGCACAGAATATAAGATTCTCAGTATCCTGTCAAGATGGAAATTTTGGTGATGGTTAGAGGCTGGGAAAGAGGTGAAAGTTTATCTAGGGATCTGGGAGGAAACATGGCAACAGGACAGGAAGAGCTCACAAACCCGAATGACAAATATGGAGTGCATCCTGATTACATTTGCAGCCACAGGGCCATTATCACAGGTTCTTTGGTGCATAAACATGTGTTTTATATACTCTTCCTTAGAGGAGGTGGCATAGCATAGCGGTCAGGATTATGGATGGTGGAGTCACACAGTTCTGAGTTCAAATCCACATACTCGACTAGGGTGCAGCCTTAGATTTGCCAAGCCATATAGAACTTCACACTTCAGACATTCATTATGAGAGTTAAATATGTTACCATATCTAAAGTGCTCAGCACAGCACCTAGTACAGACCTAGCCCTCAACATACGTTACATAAAAATGTACCTAAGGTGGAGAATTGTTTGTTTACTTTTAGGAACTGGCAAACTCTTGAGCTATTTCTAGAGCTAAGTTTGCATGTAGGCCCCTGTGAACATTCCAGAATTTAGGGCTGGGTCAGAGTTCTGCCGATCCCTGAGATTAGACACATCCACGAGGGTGATGAACTCTGTACCATGGCTCCTAGGGGAATGGGTAAGACCAAAAGCAAGAGCTGTGCATCCCAGATGCCTCCTGTCTACCTCCTCACTGCAGACCCGTCCCCCCGCAAAATCTCAGTGTAGACTCTTCCAGGACTCTACTAAGAGAGTAATTCAGACGTGTGAGCAACCACTTGACCTGGACATAAGCTCAGGGATTCAGGATGGCCTGGGGACCGGAAGAACTCTGAAGAAAAGCTGCTACCAGTGAAATAATTGCTAGAGATTTCTGGTCATGTGTTATATATCTCAGCAAGTAAGAGTCCCAATGGAGAGAGTATCCAACTTTGGGAAAGGACACTGACATGTTTTCATAGATTGGGTTGCATGTAGAAGGTTTGCTAGCAAGGCCATCAGTACTCACACGTAAACTGAACTCTTACCCACAGATCTCTTCTAGTTGTTCAGACTAGGCCAATTTAACACATTCCTATCTTCTCAGAATTGTTTGTAGGAGAAAATGGAGGAAGGAAAGAGAAGAGACCTACCATGGCAGCTAGCAGTCTTTGATTGAGCAAGCCCTTCTGCTCTCTGATGTTAGGATTTTTTTCAAACGTTAAGAAGTGAGAGGAGATGAATCACTCAATAAAAAGGCCACACAGAAAAAAGTTAATGAAAAGAAAAGGTGTTGAAAAAGACTACAAAAATAATAGAAATAAGAAAGAGAAAATGGGGCTTCCCTGGTGGCGCAGTGGTTGAGAGTCCGCCTGCCGACGCAGGGGACACGGGTTCATGCCCCAGTCCGGGAGGATCCCACATGCCGCGGAGCTGCTGGGCCCGTGAGCCGTGGCTGCTGAGCCTGCGCGTCCGGAGCTTGTGCTCCGCAACGGGAGAGGCCACAGCAGTGAGAGGCCCGCGTACTGCAAAAAAAAAAAAGAAAGAGAAAATGGAAAATGTGACAAAGAAGTAAAGGGTGAAGGAGGGATGACTGAGAAAAGTTGTAGACAGCAAATAAAAACATGGAATAGAGATACAGAAATGCAGGCACTGCTTGAAGTAGTTATGAAGAAGAGCAGTGACATGGAGGAATCAGATATCCTTGTGCAGTTAGGGTTCTCCAGAGAAACAGAGCCAATAGAACACATATATGAAGAGAGTTGTTATAGGAACTGGCTTACATGGTTATGGAGGCCAAGAAGTCCCACCACCTGCTGTCTGCAAGCTGGAGACCTAGGAAAGCCTGAGTGTCATTCAGTCTGAGTCATGGTTATGGAGGCCAAGAAGTCCCACCGTCTGCTGTCTGCAAGCTGGAGACCTAGGAAAGCCTGAGTGTCATTCAGTCTGAGTCATGGTTATGGAGGCCAAGAAGTCCCACCGTCTGCTGTCTGCAAGCTGGAGACCTAGGAAAGCCTGAGTGTCATTCAGTCTGAGTCCGAAGGCCTAACAACCGGGGGCCACTGGTGTTAAGTCCCAGAGTTTGAAGGCCTGAGACCCAAGAGCTCCAGCATCCAAGGGCAGGAGAAGTTGGATGTCCCAGCTCAAGAAAAGAGAGAGAATTTGCCTACCTCTACCTTTTTGTTCCATTTGGGCCCCCCATTGGCTGATGACTGCCCACATTGCTGAGGATGGATCCTTTTACTCAGCCTCCTGAATCAAATGCTAATCTCTTCCAGATACACACAGACACACCTAGAAGTAATGTTTTACCAGCTATCTGAGCATCCCTTAGCCCAATCAGATTGGCATATAAAATTAACCTTCACATCCTTCTGTTATATATTTGCTTTTACATTTTATTATATATCCCTCGGGCATTGGAGGGAGTAAGAAGGAATCAAGAGCCTGATTTCATCAACAAAATCTAATTCAAACTACCAAGCACGAAAGGGGAAAGGAGGGCCTTGTTGTAAGTTATAGAGCATCTTATGGATCTAGGGCAGGAATGGTGCCAGGCTCACAAGGAGGGAAACAGAGTCTGGAAAGTTGTGAGGGTCTCATCTCTGCTTCTGACTCTAAATGCCTTTTCTTTTCTATCACGCTGCAGGCTGATTCCTCTACTTCACAGGAACTCTTGGTAAAACTACAGAGTTGTGGTTCCATCTACCTACAGAGAGTTCATATTCACTGAGGATCTCTTTGGCCCAGCTTAAGCCAGCCAGGTAAGCGATCATAACACAGGATGGCAGCAGGCATCTCCACTACACGACAGGCCTCTATGAAGTTTTGACACTTGAGAGCTCTTAGGGCATTGATGGTGTGGCCCACTTTATTCAGTCCTCGAGAGGCCCACCATGACTGCCCCATCCACAATGATACCCTCTCCCTCATTCTCTACTCCCAAACCCTGCATGGTTTATTTCTTCACTATCTTACAATATACTGTATTTCATGTTTATGTGTTTATTGTGTCTCCCCTGCTAGGATGTAAACTCCATAAGAGCAGAGATTTTTTTTTTTTTTTTTTACTTTTTTTTCCCTAGAGAAGACTGGCACTCCATTTTTTTTAAATGGAGTTTTTGGGAAGGAAAGAAGGAAGGGGGGAGGGGGGGAGGGGGGGGGGGAAAAAAAGAAGGGGAGGCGGGGAGGGAGAAAAGGGGGAAGATATGCTGAAATTCAACTTAGTGATCCCTCAAGAGTAGAGCTAGGAGTGAAATTAGAAGAAACAAAGAACAGAGGAGTTGAGAATAAGCTGACAGATGTGATTATTACAATCAGGAAGACTTCAAGCTATGGTAACCACTTTTTCTGACACCTATTAGGAATATCGAGGTGGAGGCTGTGTGAAAGGGGAGGAGCTGATTCTAGAACTGGACTAATCCTGCCTCCAACAGAGATCTAATAGCTGTTGGTCATTTATTATGTCTCAGACACCATGCAGGCACCTTGTAAACTCCATGAGATGTGAGAAGACTGAGGGGAGAGGTGGAGTTGTTAGACTGTGATCACCAAGCAGTGGGGGGTGGAGCTTTCATTAGCGTCCACGCTCACTGGAACCAGAAAGCCCACACTTGCCAGTGAGACGATGCTCGAGCCCAATAATGTTTTACTGTTGCTGTATGGTTTACATGAAATTATAGTACTTGCTTGAAAGGAAATGCTAAAAAAGTCCAGTTAAATAGCCTATTAAACAAACCTTCTTTTATGAATAGTAAATACTACAAATTACCATTTTAATTGTTTGCTAACAAGACATCTAAAATATTTGAGAATATTGTCATAAGAAAGTAAATAGTACATCTGTAATCTTATCAAACACTTTGCTTAATTATTAATTCAGCAATAATTAATTAATTATTACAAAAAGGAAGTTTATCATCCTTGTTTGAATCAGCGGGGTCAAAAATTAAAGAATGTTTAGTCTGTTTAATGTGTAAGTACCTATATAAATACATATGCATGTGTATAACATTGATAAAACCTTACATAAGTTTCAACATTACTAATCACCTGACAAAAAGGTGCCAAAACTTGTCAACTCATCAGAACGACATTCTTTGGCAATCATGGGGTAGGATTATGAGTTCAATTTATAAAATAACTTACTGACATTGAAGAGGAATCTTAATGAGTAGGAAAATTGGACTGAGTGTAGTATAAAAGGGAAGAGTTATTCATTTAACAAACATATACTGAGTATCTACTAAGTTCAAAACATTGTTGAATGCTAGAGATTCAAGTCCGAATAGTCATATTTCCTTACCTAGAGGAACTTACAGTTTAGCAAAAAGGAATATTATGTTCAACCCTCAGTGCTCAACTTTGTTTGTATAATTCCATTTATATGAAATGTCTAGAACAGACAAATTTATAGAGACAGAAAGTAGGTTAGTGGTAGCCTAGGGCTGAGGGAATAGAAGAAAGGCGGGTGACAGCTAAAAAATATGGGCTTTATTTTGGGAGTAGTGAAAATATTACAAAATTGATTGTGGTGATGGTTTCACAATGCTGTGAAGAGAAAAAAAACCTTTCAATTGTATACTTTAAATGGGCGAGTTGTATTACATGTGAATAAGATTGTTAACAAAAAACCTACATAGCCCAACATTTATTATCTCATATTGTCTGTGGACCAGGAGTCTAGGCATGGCTTAATTGGGTACTTTGCTTAGGATCTCACAAAGCTGCAATGAAGGTGTTGGACAGGGCTGTGATCATATCACTCAGGCCTCAACTTTAAATGAAATGTTTTTAAATGGGCTAATATGTATTTCATATATCAAGTGTAACTTATTTCTGTAATATCAATCCACAATTTCAATAAAGTAAAGTACTTTCTCTCATGGTTCTACAGATTGGCTGGGCTCAGCTGGGTGGTTCTTCCCTGGGATCTCCCATGCCGTGGTGGTTAGCAGTCTTCAAGGATGCAGTGATCCGAAAGTTCAGTTGGCCTGGACATCCAAGATGGCCCACTCAACTGGCTGACAGTCAGAGGTGACTGTTCGCTGGGAGGTAAGCTGGGCTAGACACTAGAATCCCTGCACGTGGCTTTCCGTGTGACTTTGACTTGGGCTTTTCATACATAGCATGGCAGCTCTAAGAGGGAGCACATGGAGAGTAAGCATGATGCAAAAGCAGTTAAGATAAATCAAACACTTTTAAGGGCTACACCAGGAACTAGCACAGTGTCACTTCCACCGTATTTCATAAGTCAAAGCAGTCACAGGGCTTATCCAAACTTAGGAACATAGAGAAATAAACTCTATCTCTTGATGAGGGAGTATCAAGACCACATTGTAGAATAATGTGGGATTAGAGTTATCATTAGATATCTTTGGAAAACATCATCTGCCACAGATAGAAAAGTCATTGTTTTGAGCAATGTTTCATTTCATTTTTTTTTTTTTTAATTTTTATTTGGCTGCACCACATGGCACGTGCGATCTTAGTTCCCTGACCAAGGATCGAACCTGTGTCCTCTGCATTGGGAGCACAGAGTCTTAACCACTGGACTACCGGGAAGTCCCAAATTATGTTAACCTAGCATTAAAACTTTCAAATGCAGTAAATCATTATCTGTCTGACAAGCAAGGTTGTTCCCATCTACACTTACATAAGGGAAAGAAGGAAATGCCACATATGGGGAAAGAACTTCCCTCCAATGGTGAGACAAGTACTAGTGCAGGTCTAACATGCACACCCACACCCCAAGTAGCGCAGAAACAAGTCTTTAATATCCAGGGCAAGATGATACATCCAGACAGTCTTCGGTGATAATAAATCTAAATGCTTATCTATGAGTGTCATGTCCCTTCAGCTCTTCATCAATTCAAACAGAAATTAATCTATTGAAATCAACTATATGATACTGTTAAGTGTTTTAGACTGTATAAAAGCTTATAATCCAGAAACCATGTCTTCCTGTAATTTACAACTTATGCCAAAGGGCAGAAAAATATTGTCTCTTCTTCATGATGAGTCTCAGCAGTGGTTGATGTGTCCCTTATTTTTGAGTGTTATTGGTTTTTGGCTTTTTTTCCCCCAAATGGCTACCAGAATAAGTTGCACAAAATTCAGCATTAATTTTGCGTAGGCTGCCTTTTAACCTGCATTAATTTAGAAACATGTTCAAGCATTTCTTGTTTACCATCAGTAGAGATAAGATTGTGGTAACAGTTGCAACATTTTTCCATAGTGCTGCATATAAAAGAGAAATATGAACAATTTTCACAGTAACTGACATAAATTAATTTTTTTAAACTATTAACTCTTCATGTTTGAATATGGTCATTAGATAGGCTTGGAAAACCCCAAAATGTTCTCCCAATGCTTAAAAATTTCTATGTCCCTGCGTCTTTTAGTCTTCTTAAAAAGAAAATATGCCTAAGTGGGGACCTAGAAAATCCCAGATTGTTGATACACAGGTTCTGTCATGGCAGGAAGAGATATAAAGGTATTAGAAAGTTGTGTTTTTTCCTGACAAGATAGTCCTCCTGTCTCACTTTTTGGTACGATGGAGAGCAAAGATTCAGTCCTTTCCTAGGTCCCATCCCCAGCATGAGCCTTGCCGCCATTTATCAGTAGGGACAGTCCTGATAGCCCCCAAGCTCTCTGATGAGGTTACAAAGAAAGTAGCAAGAGGCTGGTTCACTGGAGGGCACTTTTAATCGATTGTGAACGTGTGTTGTGTATGTAGGTCAATGCATTTCTGGAAGTGTGCTCAGGTGGCTCAGTGAAGGTTACTTCCTTGGGCTACCTTTGACCTCAATTTAAGCAACTTATTTATAGTTGGGACAATGTTGTTTTAACATGACCTTAAAGTAAATTGAACAAGCCAGTCCCCAGTGCAATGGTCGGCCACTATGAAGCCCATTTTTTACAGGAAAGAGATGCATTTAGATCTTTGGGAAGAACTGGATAGGGACCAAGGTGGTGGAAGTGTGGGAAGAAACTTCAGAAACAAAGATAAATGGTTTGTTTTTTAGAGGAATAAATGGGTCCACACTCCATTTCATTAATCAAGTTGGCAACAGTATCAACAAACTCAATTGCTAGCAAATGATTATCTGATTAAAATGGCAAGGAGAATACGTCCAAATAGGTAGAGAGTGTGGACTAAATTTTATAAGATTTAAAATACCCTTAGTGCATTCGTTTCGACTGTATCAGTAGTACATGGGGTACCATTTCGTCAGAAAAAAATCTCAAGGATTTGCTTATTCTTTACAGACTATGCATCCCTGGTTCTCTTGAGAATCTTACTCCACTTCGCAAGTTTACTGAACTACACTGATCCACTTAAAAAACTAAACTGACCTCCGTTATCTTTGTTCATGCTGCTAAAATTGAACTCCTTAAGGTCATGTTGTGTTATGTGGTCCATGCATTTTGTTGTACCATTCCCAAATATTTCTAGGTACCTAAAAATGTTTAGGGTAGACAATAAAGTCACTAAATGAAAATTGGATGCAACTTGCCCAAATTTCAAAAAAGAAAGGAATGTTCTTTTCACTCCACCTATGGAGTATGAAAATGACAGAAACAGGCATTGACTAACCCCCAAACTCTTGCCCCAAGGGCAGGCCAACAATGTTGCAGATGGGTGCAGACGGGTATCTAGGACATTCAAGCTCCAAGCCCTGGGCCTTCAATGCCTCTGTCTCCTTCATTTGGATGATTCAGTGCTACAGCCTGGTTTTTCTGGTCCCCATTCACCTGCAGCTCTTGCTTAACCAATCTATCGTGTATAAGAAGGTGACTTTCCCACCAACACTTCTGCAATCTCTTTCTCATGAAATGCTTTGCAACACAGCTCTCCCTTTGACACCTTACTGAGCATAATACTGTATCCTGTGTAGATTAATAATGTATTTGCCCCAAGATCAGTTATCTAGAAAACTCAGCTATACAGAACACAGCCAAGAGTAAATAGGAAGATAAAAAGTCATCTGAGCCACTAAAGGAAACTTAGAGAATATGTACACAAAATCTTGCTCATTTTACTCAGAGAAGAATCTCAAGCCATCGCTCAGGGCTTATTTACTTCTATTTTACGTGCAATTCGTAATCAACCAACGTGCAATTGATAATCAACCAACTTCTTATTCAACATCACAAGAAAACCAACAAATATGCAGAAGGAAGAAAGAAGGCTGGTAGAAGCAGGCACACTAGCAATAACCAAAATAAACCTGACAACTGCTTTGGATGAGAAAATGAGAACTTCAAAATGTACATCAGAATAAAAGATACATCATTCTAAATCAGTGCGTGGGAGTATCTCAACATCCCCTGAGGCCATCACTGATGTTCAGTACAGTGGAACTGAGTCATCAAGAAAAGGTTAAATTATATTTTGAATTCCAGTAAGAAGGCAGAATGTATATTGCCCATTACATAAAGTTTTTCACTAAAAATGGCTGAAATAAAGGATTTCAGTTCATTCATTTATTAAATAGACATCGAGTGCTTACTATGTGCTGAGCTCGACTTCCATTCCCTGCCTTTTGTTTTTAATTTTAGATAACTGAGGCCTGGAAGATAAGCTATCTGCTCATTCCTAACAATTTTCTCAACATTGTTGAGACTAAGCCAGGCCATAAAGATAGCACATCACTGCCCCAGTGCTCTCCCTTCTGCAGGTTTGCTGCAGGCTCAGATTGCTGTCAGCGGATTGCTTGATGTGTCTGAATAGAGTGATAAGACACAGCTCAGTTAAAACCTATTGCTTTATTAACTGTGAGAAACTTAGTGGAAATAATAGATATTAGGACCTGGGGATGCAGTCTCTCTGTTCTTAATATAAGGAATAAGGCTATCTCTTGTTAAGTTATGGGCTCTATTAGTCAGATAACTGACTGCCTTTGCCTTGGTACCAGAAAGCGCAAGCTAAGACTGTGACCCACTTCTCACTATTGAAGGGATTTCATGGGTGTTATTTTGTGCACTGCGTTTTGTTTCCATACCTTTTGTTTTCCATTTGCCTCATCCTTTTCACTTATTTTGAATGTATATCTTTTTGCTCTATAGTTCGTTTATTAAAAACTTGTATGGAAGTTGTCATGCGCTAGATGCCGTTCTAAGCCCTTTACAAATATTAACTCATTTATTTCTCATAATTATGCTATGTGATATCCATTTATAGATCATTAAAAACTGACACCGAGAGATTCATTATCATATGTATCCTTTAATCTACACAAAGTCTTTTTGGAAAATAAGAGAATATATTGCAATCCATAAACAATTAGCTAATAAAATTAACTGGAAAATTTACTTAAATGTATCCTTATTTCCCAGCAGTGTCAAATATACCAGAGGCGTATGATACAGGTAGAGGTGTATGCTTACATTCAAGTGATTTTAAAGTGTTTATTGTATTCTTGAGATCCTTAAGACACACCCGTGATCTAATCAGGCAGCTAACAGCTAATCAGGAACACCTAGGTGGGGAATCGCTGCAGTGATTTGATGCTCCCTGGCACACTTCCTCCTGGCCTTCTGAGGGATGTGTTTCCCACCTCTTTATAGTACATGCAAGCCCTAGTGAATGGCCTCAGTCGTTCATCTTATCTTACGGTTAATAGTGCTGTTAGCTGCCTGAGAATAAGTAACCCAAGTCTCCAGAAATCCTGAGAGCGGAGGAACAGATTTTCCAGGATTGTTTCAAGGATTCTTTTGGAGGTTTTTAGTGCAGCAGGCTGTAAATTGTTTCTTGAATTATTGAAAATCACGGACATCTGGGTTGATTAGCTGAGTAAACTTGAATGAGTTCTTTACTCCCAAGTGCTGTGCTCCTCTCCTCCTGGGTTGATATTACACCCTTGTGTCTGGGTCTGGACAATTCAGAGGCTGAAAGAGGCATTATCATCTCAGACAAGACTAATCTCATTACCAGGTACAAAATGGCAAAAAAAAAAAAAAAATCTTTTTGCCTGTTATCCGCTTTAAAATCAGCCCAAAAATGAGAACAGAAAAGAAACAGAAACTCAGTTTTTGATGATACTAAAATAAATCCATATTTCCTAAACCCGGTGTAAGTCAGAAGTGAATAGGGGAACGGTCACTCATCTACCAGAGTGAAGAAACACCCAATGCAGATAAAGGTAAAGGTAGATACCAGTGGGAAGCAAGTCAGTTTGCCCGGCAGCTCTTCTGAAAGGCTCAGGAATGGGAGAAACCAGGTACCAAGAAAGGCCTGGGTGATTCCAAGTTGTTCCTCTGAGCCAGTTTTTGAGTGGAGACCTGGGGTCTTATTGGTTCATATGTAATTATCTGAGTTCATTATCTTCAGATTGTTAAAGTTCTACTTCTCTGAAACACAGTACAGCTGTTAGCATATATTTTATAAATTTGAAATGTAATATTAATCATAATTTTTGCTAAAATCTCATTACGTTTTAATGATTTCTAAATGTGTAGAGGCTGTACATGTGCTATTTGGACTATTTGATCAAGAAACTCTTGCTTGATATTCAACTAAACTGAAATATTATCTCAATGCTCATGGTGCTTTCAAGTCAATTAAGTATCATCACTTAAATCTGTTAAACTTTCATTCTTCATTGCTATCATTCTAATTCAAAGGAAGTATATCCATAGCTTAAAAATAGTTCTTTAAAGATTAAAAGGAGTGATGAAAGTGGTAGTATAAATACTGCAACTAAGAATAAAAGTGGAGGGCTTCCCTGGTGGCGCAGTGGTTGAGAGTCCGCCTGCTGATGCAGGGGACACGGGTTCGTGCCCCGATCCGGGAAGATCCCACATGCCGCGGAGCTGCTGGGCCCGTGAGCCATGGCCGCTGAGCCTGCATGTCCGGAGCCTGTGCTCCGCAACAGGAGAAGCCACAGCAGTGAGAGGCCCGCGTACTGAAAAAAAACAAAACAACAACAACAACAAAAAAGAATAAAAGTGGAAATATAGATAGGGAGCAGAACTCCAGGGTGAATATAGAATGTGAATCTTCATAAGCTAGAGCAAGGAAAATTAAACTTGTAATGATTTTGCACAAGCAGCCAATAAGAAAAGTGTGATTACGTACGATGGTGAATATAAGATAAATGAACTTTATTGGAAAATTGATCCACTGCCACCAGTCCCAGTGCATTATCTGTTAAAACACTTGTCTGTAGTGGCATATAGCTGTAGGGGATTTCTTGCATAGTGACTAGTCTTGTAAAATCAATCACAGTTTTACAAAACTATGCAAAATAATGCTATTCATTACATAACTGCTGAAATTTTTTCTGAAGGCAGGCAAATGACCAATATCACAGACTGATATTTATTCATATTTATATACCTCCTACCCTTTATTGCTGTGAAGACTAAAACCAAAAAAGGTCAATACTGTATGCTTTATTAGAGAGAAAGCAGAATAATTCGGAAGAAAAACATGTCCAAACAGCATGATTACCAGCTATCTATAACTATATAACACCATAACAATTAAAACAGTGTGAAACTACCTCAGAATGAGAAAAATAAGCTAGGAAAACAGAATAGAGGTCAGAAGTTGACCCGAGCATAAATAGGAACTTGATATATAATGGAATTGATCATTCAAATCAGTGAGAAAAGAATGAAGTATTTAATAAAGTGTGCTTGAACTGTTACTTATTCACATGCAAAAATTGGCATTGTATCCTTACCTCACTCTAGATGAAAATAAATTCCAGATGATTTAAAGACATAAATGTTAAAAGAAAAACCTTTTTAAATTTGAGAAGAAAATATAGATAGATTGATTGATTCATGACCTTAAATTAAGTAAGAATTTCTTAAACCATATACTAAAAGCACAAGAAGCAAACTACATGAAAAAAAGATTGATACATCTGCAATATTTAACTTTGACATAAAATTTTAGGACATATTATTTCGTTATGTGAACAAAAATATTAAAAAGTGAATCATTGTCAACTTGGGAGAGGCATAAAGGGAAAGATTCTGGGAAGGTATCCAGGAGATTTCAATTATATCTATAATTTATCTCTCAACAATATGTATAACAAGCATATATGGCAAAATGCTATGGTCTGACAAAGTTGACTTACTGGTGTGGGTTGTATTGTTTTCTATAACTTCTCTATTTTATGCTTAAAATAGCTTATAGTAAAAAAAAATTAAAGAATGCTTAAGAGGCATGCTGATAGAATGTGAGGTCCATCATGTGTAAAACACAGGTTCCAGAAGGGAATGTTAGAGCGAATGGAAGAGTGGTATATTCAAAGAGATAATGCCTGAATATTTTCTAAAATTGATGAAAGACATGAATCAAGATATAAATATACACACACCCTCTCATGAATTCTTATGAATACACACTTTTTTTAAAAGAGAAATTGAGTTTGAGCTGAGATCTTTTCGGCTACAATTTGTACCAAGAGAATAAAAGCATCTGGGACGGGATGTAACAAATGTATTATGAAACTTGAATACCAACAAATAAATATTCTCATGTGCCTGCCAATGAACGGCTACTGGTAAAATTTCTTATTCAAATGACACTGTTAGTTGTTATATAATATGAATGGCACATAATGTGGATGAGCAATCATTTTCTTCTGGGTGCTAGCAGATCGTTTACTTCATTGTTAATCACCAGTGGTCAAAGTATGGTTCAGGTTTTGGCATCTATGCGAAACTTATAAGGTAGAAGTATGTGATGATTTACTGTTTATTTGCTTTTTACTGAAAACCCAGGCTACGTAAGAACAGACTTTTCATTTTGTTAACTGGTTTCTTTTTGAGCCATGATATGGGCCAGGGGTTAGCAAACTATAGCCCACAGGCCAAGTCTGACTCACTACCTATTAGCCTACCAGCTAGCAGTAGCTTTTATATTTTTAAATGGGAAAAAAAAATTTAAGAGTAAATTTCCTTATATGTGAAAATTATGTGAAATTAAAATTTCAGTGTTCATAAATACAGTTTTTTTTAACACAAGCGCTTTCATCTTTATATTGTTTATGCTACTTTGATGCTACATTTAGGCCTGGACATTTACAGAGGGTTTGCTGACCCTCTGATATAGAATATAAATGTAGCTCAAAACACTCCAGCTGATATACAGGAAGGAAGAGACGTAAATTGCAAATAATTTATACATTAATGCGAATTTACACACTGCTTTATTTACAGAGAACAGTTATGTAGAATATATGACATTCAATCATGATTTGCCACTAAATGAGGTTGTGAAAATTATTAATATAATTAAATTGTTGTGATGACTATAGCTGCTTTTCCTCATGTTATGTGAAGAAATAATAAGTAAATGATTCTGCTTTTACATATCACAGTAAACTGGCTTTTGAAGGGAAAGTTGCTCTCATGAGTTTGTAAAAGGAGAGATGAAATAAGACAGTTCATCATGACAATGAAAATGCCAGTGAAGACAGTATTTTTACTTTCATATTGTGTTATTATTCTAGTGATTAGCCAGAATCTAATAATTCAAGACCAAAATTCCACAAGGCTTAAGTTTGAAAATAAGAATTTGACTGAAAATAATGTTGAAGATAAATTCTCCTAAGAAGACAAAATTTGGGTTCAAATCACTGCATTGCTGAGTTTGACTGTTTACAAGCACTTGATGTTTTTTCATCCTTCAGAGAATGAAATCAATGATATATTACAGTACAAACCTTGTCCCTACTTAAATGCTAAAACAGAGCATGAAGAAATGTTCCACAGCTAAGTGAAACCTATAAGTTCAACTTTATATGTTGAAGCAATCAACTTTATAGGTTTTTATTGTTGCTGGTGTTGTTTTCAGTGTAATAACTCATCTACACAGTGTCCAGCAAAGTGATGAAAGTTATTTTCAGTGAGCAATCTAACTTCAATGTTATGTACAATACAAACATGGAAAACTGATTATCAAAACATTTCTCCCATTCTTAATGATACACAAATGTGATTTTTCTAATCCAGCTAAAATAGAGATCAAAATAAGAAATACCCCAGATGTGGAACCTCATTACGCTACCTTCATGAAGACTGCACACACGTCATTCTTCTCCATGGTTTCAAACAAAGATCATTCATATTTTAAGTATTGTTCCCCTTTTGTAAATTGTGATGAATTCTTGTTTTTTGATCTGCCTAAAAATTAGCGGCTAAACTTTGGCTATAAAGTGGCCCACAGCCACTGTTAGTTTACATAAAATGTTCAAAATATAATAAGTATCTTTTTTTTTAAGAAGTAAATGGTGAAAATGCCACAAAGAAAATAGGAAATAAAGTGGGAATTGAAGGACAAGTAAGACTTTGCTAATAGATATATTTCAGGACCCAGAAATGTACATGCAAAGGTACAGAAGCGTGAAAACTGAGGTAAGTTTGGGGGTGGTGAGTAGACCAGTGCCTGAGGGTGAAGAATTAGTATATAGGAGATGGAAAAAAACTGCAAAGGTTATTCAAAGGGCAATTCTTTGTTTCCTCAGTGATGACTTATAAAACTTCCATTTACTTTATTTTTGAAACTTTTGAGCTCTTTTTTTTTTTTCCAAAGCTTTTTCAAAGGTGGACGCATATATGATCTTAAAGAATTTGCAGATCAGATTGTGAGTGTCTGGCACAATGAATGATTCAAGAAGGAGGAGAAGAAGATGTTACAATATGGACAAGGATTGGAAAGCAACATGTTCTCCTAAACCACTGGTTTGAAAAAAGAAAAAATGATTTCCAACCTAGATTTTTAAAGGCTTCTCTATTATCAATTAAGTTGCAGATTTGAAAAAAAAAAAGATATTTTTAGAAATACACTTTCAAAAACCTAATTCCTATTCATCCTTTCTCAGAATGCTACTGGAGAATATGTTCCACCAGAATAAGGGGATAAACCCAGGAGGAACTAGGGGATCCAGGAACCAGGGGATCCATCGCAGGAAGGAAGCCGACAGGATTCCTAAATGAGGCCATGGTCATGCAGCAGGCTAGAGGCAGCCCCATCCCAAATAGGAAAGGTCAGAAGACTTTGGAAGAGACTTCTTCAAGAAGATGAAATTGAAACCTAACATGTCTGAACATATTAACTGAAGACATACAATTCAGGGGGAGTTTGGAACTGAGTTGAGTACATAGAAAAGTATTAAAAATTCCAAGGAAAATGAAATGTTGTGCAGGCAAGACAGAGTAATCACAGTGCACTGAGTATGTGGCCCAGGTGCAGCTAGTGCTTAACATGACCCTCATAATGTGGAAACCGAACATGTTTCCTGCTAAAGTTGCATCTACACAGGAAAGACTGGAGCATGGGAACTCCATGGGGTGCAGATGGAGGTGAAATTGAACTGAATCCTCATCTTTCATAATGGAAAGTTATAATAGTTAATGCCTAAAACTGTAAGACAGAAAAGCAGCAATACCCACATTGTATTTTGGTATATGTCGGTTACGATCATAAGACGGGGCAAGAGCGTTAAAAAGGGAGGTAAACAATGCTGTGGTGAGGTGATTAAGACCCAGGACTGTTCTTTTTCATAAAAGCTTTGTGGAGGTATCTCTATCTTTAGATCATGAGTATTTTTAATTTCAATAAAAAGTATATTTCAAACAGTTAAAATGCAGAATACAAAAGCATATCTATGATGATAAGAACAAGAATTAGAAGAAGGTATAGACTAATAAGCACATTGATTTGGAGAAAGAAATTTCTTCATTGGACCTTAAAATAATATGTTTACTTAGATTAAAATCAGATTTTGGGGCATGCGTACTTCTCAGTTTTCATCACATGTTCTCAACTCAATTGATTTCAAAAGTCCGGAAGTGAGAGAAGTTCTGTGTTTTTATTTTGTTTTAAGTTAGTTAGGACAATAATCTTCCAACTGAAGCACATGAAGACTTTCTAAGGCATACGTGCATGTGATTTCCAGATCCTCTTGTTTCATAGGTAATATTTCTTAGAACTGTTCTGCCTGAAGCCATCCCTGAAGTTGAAGATCATGCTGTTTTCCTTGCCTGCTCCCTCTTCATAACCAGCCTTCTCCCAATTAACACCTGAAATGCATATCCCTCAACCATCCCTAGTCTTCCCATGGAACAATGCTCTGATTTGAAAAACGTCTGGAGCATCAAGCCAGGGGACAATTCAAAATATTGCTTAAGCAAGTGAATGACTCTAATGAATGGGTAACAATCATTATGCAAATCAAATAGTTTTCAATTATTTCTTAGCACAAAATGGGAAGATCTAATCCAGTCGTCAACTATTAGATCATTAAAACATTTCTGATGATCAATCACTATGTGACTTTCAGCATGTAACCTGGGAGGGGTTCAAATAACTTTGTGACATTGCCTGAACAAAACTACTTCCATTTCCATCTACTTATTGATATGATCGAGTCTGTCAGCATAATAAAAATAAAATTGATGCTGAATCCTGTCTTGTTCTAAAATAAATATATCCTCATCCACCTCATTAATATCTACATTTAAAATACAATTTTACTTTTCAGGTTTAATAATTCTATATCAATGTTTATAATACATGTATGCTGTTGTGATTAATTGTATATTAGTAATATCTGTAATAATTATGGTCACTTGAAGTTTTTAAAAACTATATTTCGATTTATGTATGTATTTTTGTTGCAGGAAAGTGTGAGAGGGTGATCCAAAAAAACCCTACAAGTATATGTGATGTAATGAAAGTGGAATTTATATACAAGTTAAGAAGAAAATAGAAAAATGCAAATTTTCCAATTGCTTAAGAAAGCTTTTTCCATGTATATTTTTTAGGGGTTAAAAAACAAGAGATTGCTTAATTAGTAAAATACAAGGATGAGGCCAGGTAGGGCAGGGGTAGGGGGGAACCACCTGGGGTCCTCCCTCCACTACATCCACCATTTTATTTTTGAATGGATGGTGATGGGTATCAAGTTGGCCATAGTATTTAGTTTCCTTTGGATATATGGAAAAGGTGATATAAATTTTATTTTAAAATATAAATATTTCAAAATATACCAGAAATTATATCCTTTATTATAACATACAAAAATTATGTCCTTATTTTGAAATTTTTTAGATATGACTTAAACTTTTTGGAGGGATTCATAATTTTAAAAATTATTTTTAAGAATCTCAGAGCAAAAATTTTACAGAACACCTGTCTTTTCTATGGTTCCTTTTAATGGGTGGATTCATACTGCCCTCTGGTGGTTACAGAGGTTGGAACACATGAAGTACAGATTTGGACCTGTGGCATTTTGGAAACAGAATTCCATTTCCTTTTTGCTGCATTGAAAAAATAGCAATTTGTTGTAGAGATGACTACATTTCACACATAATCACAGTTTTTATGAAATGTGAATATAGTGACAGGATTTTGAAATTTAGGATTTGACCTCCAATGGATAAAAAAAATCAGCTTGTCCACCTTTAATAACTGTAATTTGGCATTGACCAAGCAAGCAGATTTTTGCTTTCCAGAGATATCCAGACAGTACTCAAGAGTCCCCAGACATGGGGACTTCCCTGGTGACACAGTGGTTAAGAATCCGCCTGCCAATGCAGGGGACACGGGTTCGAGCCCTGGTCCAGGAAGTTTCCCACATGCCACGGAACAGCTAAGCCCGTGTGCCACAGCTACTGAGCCTGAGCTCTAGAGCCTGCGAGCCACAACTACTGAAGCCCGCGCGCCTAGAGCCCGTGCTCCGCAACAAGAGAAGCCACCGAAAGAGAAGCCTGTGCACCGCAACGAAGAGTAGCCCCCGCTCGCCGCAACTAGAGAAAGCCCGCGCAAAGCAACGAAGACCCAACGCAGCCAAAAATAAATAAATAAATAGATAAACTTATTATTTAAAAAAAAGAGAAAAAAAGAGTCTCTAGACATGATACAGACACTCCATCAGCTGAATGTAAAATCAGCGTTTAGATTCGGGTTTTTCTCCGTGCAATTGTGGAGCTTTACCTTCGTTTAGCTCTCCCTGTAGCATCCTCCCTCCTTGCCCTTATCTGCCCCCAGGGGCTCCATGCCTTGAGGATGTCAGTAACTGGGATGAACATAATGGAGAAAGTGTGGCATAGTGGAAAGAGTGGGGCATAATGAAATTTGAAAGAACTATATCTGAATTTTATCCCCAGACATCACTAGCTGTGATCTTGGGAGAATTAACTTCTCTTGATCAGTTTCCACAACAGGAAAACGGTTAAACTACCGGCCTCGTAGGTGCCATGGAAAACTAAAAACACATAGGTAAGGTGCTCAATAAGAGCAACCAACTGAACTTATTCCTATTTTATACATTTGAAAGATAAGCAGGTTTGACCATTTGAGGGATAAGAAATATAGTCACAGGGAGTCACTTGTTGGGGTATCTTGGTCATTTTTATTTAGTTAGTTACAGCAGTGCCATTATATGTATCTTGCTTAAATATTTCTTTCCCTTTAAGAGACATAATTCACCATTTTTCATCTTTATTAAACTTCCTCCCCCTTCTCCATTTCTCAGATGATTGAACTTGGTTTATACTGAGAAAATAGATACAGCCTCTAAAATTACCAGCCTGTGAGCAATCACACCCATGTGCCACTCACAGTTCTTTTACTATGGACAGTAACTCCTTCCCCTGTGCTCTGAAACTCTCTGTTCATAAACTCCCACCTTTATAAAGGCTTGATCCTTGCAATTATCCCCTCTCCTCTGCATCATGTTTTTTTCTTTCTACTGGGTCATTTCCACAAATGAAAAATATCCTCAAGTATCTCCTTCTCTTTCAAACAACCTCCGCCCCTAAAAAATCTTCCTCGATTCCACATAACCCTGTAGACAATGACCTATTTCTCTGTTCCCCTTCACCACTGAACTTCTTGAAAATGTCTGTGCGTCACAGTTTCTATTTCCTCACCTCACATGCTTTCTTCAATCTACTTCACTTGCAGTAATATCCTTCCACTTGGCTGAGACTTGTCAAGGTAAGAAATTTAATTCTCTGTTACCAAATCCAGTTAAAAAAAAAACCTCTCTGTTCTTAAGTGACTCAACAACATTTGACAGTTGACCACATGAATGAGAAAAAATATGGTATGTGAAAATGGCATCGTAGGGATGACTTTGTGGTAAAGAATATAAACTCAGTCAAAGTAACTTAAATAGAAAAAAATTTGTTTGGAAAAAATCTAATATTATCTCACACAATAAGAGGAGGAAGTACAGCCAAGCCCCATAAGATAATTCACTAGGCTGCTCTGAATGTGCATGGTCTCTTGTTTTTGCTTCTCTCTGCATGTCTGCTTCGTGCTTATGCTCCTTTAAAGATGACCGATATATACACCTTTCTAGGTCAAGGGATCAACAAAGACCCACAAGAGTCCCTAAGTCCTTCATAATAAATTCCAATGAGAGAAACTTGATTAGTCCTGCTTAAAGTGTGCATCTTTTCCCAATTAGCCATGGCCAAGGAGTGGCAGGGTCATGGTGATGGTTAATTTTATGCATCAACTTTGCTAGGCTACAGTACACAGTTGTTTGCTCGAACATCAGTCTAGATGTTGCTGTGGAGGTATTTTTTAGATGTGATTAACATTTAAATCAGTAGCCTTTGAGTAAAGCCGATGACCCTTCCCCCCATCCCCATTATGTGGGTGGGCTCATTTAATCTGCTGTAGCCTTAAGA